CTTTGAAATTCTGGTACATGTTGTGCCTAAGTGGCTAAGGGGGCCTTGGTCCTCGCACGCCTGAGTGACCTCGCTGCCACTCAGGGGTCATATTTACCACTCAGGATATATACCTGCGAACCCTGACAGCCACTCAGAAATTTCGTTGATATATGACACAAAGGCAAAAATATTATACCTTATTTACAAGTTATGTGGCAATCAGACGCCACAGTTGTCATTCAGAGGTCGATACACTAATGGTCACTCAGATACCGTATTTGCCATGTAGTTGTAACTCAGATACACGTACCTCAAGTGCCTGAAGTGACCAACACACCTGGACCACTCACTGTCAGGTCCAGCTCTTATGTCAGTGACGAAGTGAGGGCCAGGTGAGCCAGACCAAGACCAAACTGTTTACCAGATCTACCAAGACAGACAGACAGATCACCACCACAGCGGCCGTCCACCACCAGGTAAACAGATACCCTCGTCAACCAGGGTGTTTATGGAGCCACAGCCACGTTTCATACCTGTGTTACTAATTCCTAACTACCTGTAGATGGATACCTGAGGCAGAGGTGAGGCAGCCATTGTGGGTAATACTGCCTCACACTTGGGTCCCTCTGCTGTACACAAGGAGGCAGCAGCGTGGCTTGTTCTACACTCAACCGCTGCCACTTACTCCACCGGAAAGAGTTAGGTACCCGTTCACAGCTGGGTGGAACGAGGCTCAAACTAGTGACCCCTGACCGCCGCACCTCGTACATGTGGAATAAACGCGCCAAAATATGGTGTGTGGAGCAGACAAAACAAACACACACTCACATGTTACGTGTGTGGAGGTCTCCTTGGTGCTGTTGGTTGACTGACTACCGCGTGCGTGGGTCACTGAAACACCCTCACCTGTTATATCGATTATCTATATGTTTACCGTAATTAGACATATTATATAATGTTCTCATCCTTTATAAATAGCTGTATGGATCTATATAAGCGTATGTAAATCTTAAATTCATATATGCAAATTACGTCCCTCCCTCACTCCCCCCCCCCTTGTAGTAACGCCCGTGTGTAGTCATACAACCTTCCCTGTTCACTGGTCCGCCACAAGACCCGACAACACTGCTAACGAAAATCAATACCCGAACAAGAAAACCGGTTCTGAATCCATTGTACCCACACCACCCACATACTGGATAACTTTTGGGTATCCATGACCACACCCTATCTACCCACCCTCCCTCATGTGGGTATTTCCGTGCCTCTTCCCCCTCTCTTCTATCCTCCTCCCCCCACACACACTGGAAAGGAGCCAATCAGCAACAGGTGTTCAGTGCCATCAGCTGATATACAATTATGAGACAAAAGAAATAATAATCTATATATGTTGTACATGTATGTGAATCTACCTCTTTTATTCTAGGCTCCTCCCCACACTCTTCCTCCTCCTCTTTCCCTCCTCCTCCCACACTTCCCCTCCTCCCTCCCCCACTTCCCCTCCTCCTCCCACACTCTTCCTCTTTCTTTCTCCCTCACATTTTCTTCATCCTTCTCACCTCCTTCCTCCTCCTCCTCCCTGACTAGACCCCTCCTAATAGACCCCTCCCTAGCCAGACCCCTCCCTGACAGACCCTCCCTGACAGACCCCTCCCTGGCAGACCTCCCTGGCAGACCCCTCCCTGACAGACCCTCCCTGACAGACCCTCCCTGACAGACCCCTCCCTGACAGACCCCTCCCTGACAGACCCCTCCCTGACAGACCCTCCCTGACAGACCCCTCCCTGGCAGACCTCCTGACAGACCCCTCCTGACAGACCCCTCTGACAGACCCCTCCCTGACAGAGGCCTCCTGACAGACCCCTCCTGACAGACCCTCCCTGACAGACCCCTCCTGGCAGACCCCTCCCTGACAGACCCCTCCCTGACAGACCCCTCCCTGACAGACCCCTCCTGACAGACCCCTCCCTGACAGACCCCTCCCTGACAGACCCTCCCTGACAGACCCTCCCTGACAGACCCCTCCTGACAGACCCCTCCCTGACAGACCCCTCCCTGGCAGACCCCTCCCTGGTAGACCCGACCTCCCCAGGCAAGGCTCCGGCTGGCACCAATCAGGGTATGGTCACTCCCCCGAGGGCGGCCCAGGGCCATGTTTCAGGCTTTTGGTAACAACGTGTACAAATTCACCCAATTTAGGGGTTAGGGCTTACTGTGGGTCTCTCTGGGGCCCATTTTTACTGGGGCCCATCAGGACTGGGGTTTCTAAGGGCCACGAGTCATTAAGGGAGTCAGCGGGGTCCAAGAGTCATGGCGTGAGGCCGTGACTCAATTATTGGTTTTTAGTCACAAATTTTTATCCAGATTTTGTTTATTGTTAAGAAGCGCGCGTGCACATAGACATACATACACACGTTCATAAAACCACGCATGCATGCACACGCTCACACACACACACACACACACACACACATTGACATATACACACATGTACACTTTAAAAACAACGGCAACTGAC